CCTCAAGGTCGCGAACCTTGACCATGAGTGAGTCCACTAGCTTACATCGCTCGCTTTCTGAAGTCAAACCTTTTTGACTGTTTCAAGATTAGTGGGTCATGTAGCATACTTCATAATGTAGACCTATTCTGCAGACCTTGATATTCAGTGTTAGCAAATATTGGGAGGTGCCAATACTCTGAAGAGAAAAAACCAAAGAGGTGCTGGTACTGCGTACTGGTGAGTACTGGCCTACTTCAAGCACTGTTTATAAGTAAATATTGCAATCCAAAATGCACATGAAAAGTTTATATAACACAGTAGGCCTAGTATATAGAAATGTATAAGTCAATGCAAGTATATTACCATTAGGCAGGATTTACAGTAAGTGACATCTGCCTTGTCAACAAGCCTACACTGTAAAAAATGATTGTAAGGCTATGTAAATGAAACAAAAAAAAAAGTGTATTTTTTACAAATAATAATTTTGTTAAAGTGAAAACTTTAGAGTATAAAGTAAAATCTATATATTTACTTAATTTAAACTTGCAAACATTAAACATTCAACAGCCAAGTAAATGTTACTTGTGATTTTTTGACAAATCTAAACGAATTAATAGAGTACTTACTGTATGTACCTTTAGAAAATCAAGTAGAATTTAAGCTGACTTTAGGTAATCTGCGCATGCGCGAAAAAGAAGCTCTCCCGCCATGATCAACTGCTCAAAAGTGCTTCTCCGTTTTCTTCTACAGGTAAGTAATAGTTGAAAATGCATAATATTTTGGAGTTTTTAACTCAATGTATTTGGTAATTGTGTTAACCCTGAGCAATTGAGTTATAACTTAATTCTGTATATTTTCTGCACATTTGGAAACTCGAGTTGATGATCTTTAGTCTACGCCATACGGCATATTAAAATCTCAGTGTTTTACATAAAGACGCGTTAGTCTTGAATGTGTTACTTTATCCGTGATATATGTTTTTGTTTAATAAAATTTTGTTGAGATAAAATTTTGTGCAGTTGTTCGGGGATTCTTACCATATATACGCGACATTTTAAAACCTCTAAGTTTTACAAAAGACGTCTAAAACCCTTGAACGCGTGACTTGCCCCTTGATATATGTTTTGTTCGGTATGTGTAATTTTGTATGGTTGTACAGTGATTATTAAATGATGAAACATGACAAAAGTTTCAACATTCACACAGTGACATGACAAAAGAAGTATACTTGACTGTATCTGAGAGATAAGAATCCATTAAGAACTGGGGGAGGGGGGCGCGGGGAGCAAGATGGCGCTGTTCCGAGCAGACATCCTGCGCTCTTAATCCTCAGACATCATTGAGATTTGCATACAATACATTAAGGAAAACTACTTCTCCTTATCATTTCATGTAAATATTTTTTAGGGACTAATATTAGCGTTGTTTGAAAACTTGGTTATATGGTCAAACGCAAAGCGAAACTCCACTTCGAAGTGAGCATGGAGAAAAATGAGAATGTCGTGCCCTCACAACTATTAGCCCCATATCCTGATGCAATGCTGACAGGCTGAACCAGTGACTCAGTTGAGATATATATATATATATATGTTTTTTTTTTTTTTTTTGAATGCCCCCATGTTGAGTTTTTTTTTTTGCTGACTTACCAAAATCCTATGTGTGATATATTTTATTTTTCTCACTATAAACATAAATAATATAGAGTAAATGTATTTTATTGTGAAAGTATTATATTCATAAATGTATTTTTTTTTTAACACTACCAAAATTATTCGGCACGGTGGTGTAGTGGTTAGCACTGTCACCTTGGGACCTTCAGGGTTCGGGTTTGATTTTTGGCTGGGTTCGATTCCCATCTCTGTGTGCATGTTCTCCCTGTGCTTGGTGGGTTTCTTCCGGGTACTCCGGTTTCCTCCCACAGTCCAAAGACATTCAGGTTAGGCTAATTGGCATTCCCAAATTGCCAATAGTATGTGAGTGTGTGTATGTGTGTGTGCCCTGCGATGGATTGGCACCCTGTCCAGGGTGTACCCTGCCTTGTGCCCTCAGTCTCCTGGGATAGGCTCCAGGCCTCCCGCGACCCTGAATACAGGATAAAGCGGTATAGACAATGAGTGAGAGTGAATTCCCAAAATTACATAATTTTCTTTGTGACTTTAACTACCTAATTACAGCACAAAAAATATTAATACCAAAAAGAGTGCCACATTTGCTAAATTGTATAATCTGATAAATGTTATGTAATTTTTGATTTACAAAAATTGAAATATCTTGTTGTTTTATATATTTAATCAGTTCTATGTTTCATCTGCTGTAGATAATAGTGCGTCGGATCTGAACACACGTTGTCAAGGTTACACGCCTGGCCAAAGTTAAGTTCACACTAAGGTAATTTACTCATTTATTTTGCTTTTCAGAAATATTCTGCTCTGTTGTTATTGATTCCTTGTGATAGTCTACTGGAAATTAGTGGGCCGCAAAGGCCGTTTGTTTATGGTGTTGCCAAAGAAAATCATCTGTGATTGCTGTTTCTTTCAGGAACTCTTTCACTTTTCATCTTATTCTGGGTGCAGCAAATAATGTAAAACACAGAGATTCTCATGTTTAGCCTTGTTTGTTTCATCATCAGATGAGTAAAAGTACTGTGATTGTATTTGTAAATGGTATTTTGCAGATTACTAATTACTTCTTTTTATGTTTTCTATATTGCAGAATATATTTCTTATGTGGATTCTGTCAGCTGTATTATCTTTTGCTACAGACCAGTTGGGAGGGAAACAGAAAAGACAAGTAGTTGTTGTCTTCAGTCCTCACTGGGGTACAGTTTATTAATTAACCGAGCGTTTTAGTATGACCGAACTTTGTTTAGTATGTGGCTATGCAAAAAATGTAACTTTACTGCATCAAAAAGATCAGAACTACTAAAACATTACAGACTGAAACACTGGCACAGCACACGAAACCACTCAATTCTTTGTCCATACTCAGATTGTCCTTGTTGCTTCAGGACTTATAGTGCACTGTACTCTCATTTGTCCAGAGATCACAGAGAGTCACTGGATGCAGGGCAGGCCGTCTCTTTTAGGTGTCTTGTTTGTAATTCAGTAAGTCACCATTCAGAAAAACAATACTTTGAGCACCTTCGAGGTCATCTAAAAAAGTATGAAACAGTGACCTGTGTTTTTAATAACTGTGAGTTTAGCACAAATATATATTCAACTTTTGCATCTCATAAAAGCAGGAGGCATACTCCCCACTCACTTGAGCACTTTAAACCATCTGTCTTTCAAAATAACACCTGTGAAACACCAAAGGATACTGATTTAAGTGTTGATGAAAGTGATTCATGTGAGCCTGTTGTTGAGGAAGAACACGATTTTGTCAAAATAGTCAACAATAAGTTAGGTTGCCTTTTCCTCAAATTAGAAAGCGTTTTTAATGTGTCTAATAGGTGCATTGATGAAATAGTAGATGAGTTGCAATTTATATCATCAGCTGCTTCAAGACCAGTTATCAAACAGATAATTGACACTACTTTGCAAAGGAATAGCTGCAATGTTGATGAATCTGTAGTTTCAGACTTGGTAGAAAATCTTACCTCCCTTAACCCGTTAAATGCAGCTCTTGGGGTGGAGGGTCCTTTCAACACCTCATACAAAAGAGGTAGATTTTTTAAGGAGCAATTCTGTATTATTGAACCTGTAGAGTATATACTAGATGAAAAAAGCACATTCCAGTATGTTCCAATTTTGAAAACATTGTCACAGGTATTACAAAAGAATGACAAAATGTTAAAGAATGTATATAGTTCTAGGAGTACTTATGAAACCTTTTGTGATGGCTCACATTTTAAAGAAAATAGCTGTTTGTCTGGAGATGATGAAAGAATCTGTCTTATACTGTACATTGATGATTTTGAGGTGTGTAATCCACTCGGGACATCTCGAAAAAAGCATAAAATTACTGCTGTCTATTGGGTGTTGGCAAATATTCGCAGTATATTACGTTCCTCTTTGACATCCATTTATTTGGCTGTGCTTTGTAAAGCAAATGATGCAAAGAAGTATGGATTTTCTCAAGTGCTTGAACCATTGTTAACTGATCTGAAGAGTTTGGAGGAAGATGGTGTTTTTGTCTCCTCTCTTGGGAGATTCATCAAGGGCACTGTTTTCTGTGTGATTGCTGACAATCTTGGGGCCCATGCAGTTGGAGGGTTTCTCGAAAACTTCACCGGGTCACATATTTGCAGATTTTGTACTGGGGAACGGTCCCAATTCCAGAAGTCGGAGGTTAGATCTGGTGCATTTTCTCCAAGAACTAAACAAGAGCATGAATTGCATGTTCAAACAGCTTTGAGCACTTCAACAAGTTGCTATGGGGTGAAACGTCAATGCCCAATTACTGACTGGCTGAATCACTTTCATGTAGTATCAGGGTATCCTCCTGATGTGCTTCATGACTTGCTTGAGGGCATTGTACCCTTTGAATTGGCTCTGTGTTTAGATGCATTGATCAAGAAGAGGTATTTCTCTCTTTCTGATCTCAACAAACAAATCAAAATGTTCCCATACAAATGGAGTGACAGAACAAACTCCCCACAAAGTGTTGCACCAAACTTTGCGTCTAAAAAGAACATTGGTGGAAATGCACATGAAAACTGGTGTTTATTGAGGTTGCTTTCACTGATGGTTGGAGATAAAATACCAGAAGATGACAAGGCTTGGCAGTTGATTATGACGCTCAAAGATGTTGTTGATCTTGCTCTGTCACCTGCTTTTTCTGATGCAAGCCTTGGTTTTCTCGATAGCAAGATATCTGAGCATCGATACAGGTTTCTTGAACTTTTTCCACAAGAAAAGCTGCTTCCAAAACATCACTTTCTTGAGCACTATCCTCAGGCCATTAGAGATTTTGGCCCCCTTGTGGCATTATGGACTATGAGGTTTGAAGCAAAGCATCGCTTCTTTAAGAGGGTTCTTCGACAAACTGGGTGCTTCAGGAATGTTTTGATGTCTCTGGCAAGGAAGCATCAATCAATGATTGCGTTCCATTTGTATGACTCTGATCATGCAAAGCCTGCCATTTCTGTGACATCAATGACAAAAGTGCCGCTGGAAGTGCTAGATAAAGGAATAAAAGAAACTGTGAAGGAACAATTCCCCAATGTCACAGCAGTACATGTGGCAAATAAAATTGAATATTTTGGCACAATGTATAGTGTAGGAATGATGTTGGCATATGGATCAACTGGAGGATTGGCAGACTTTGCAGAAATTGTTCAGATGATTGTTGTTCTGGACAAGCTCAGTTTTGTTGTTAGACTGCAGAGTGCTTGGTACAATGAACATCTTAGGTGTTTTACTTTAGAAGCCACACGTAATATTCAAATCCTTCAACAAGCCCAGCTAACAGATCTTTATCCATTGGCAGCTTACACAGTGGCAGGACAGCAGATGGTGTCACTGAAGCACTTCATTTGCATTGACTAAGAGGTAATGTACCTAATTTATAATATTCTCCTGTTCATTTTTTAAAAAATCGGTCATGGTTATTTTTAGATAATAGTAATGTAAAGCAGTGTAGATATAATTGTGTGTGTGTGTAAACTACATTTTATTGTTAGCTTTTTTACAAAATGTAAAATGCTCTTATTTGTAAGCTACTTTGGACAAAAGGGTGTAATTATGTGTGTATATGAAAGAGTATATAACTTGCACACATGTATATAAACGTGTGCAAGTGTGTGTGAACATGTGAGAGAGAAAGCTTAAGACTAGGCTAATACCCATTCTTTATTTTTTTTAGTTTAAGGTTGTGAAAAACATCAACAATGTCCTCACCTTGCCCAGCTATGCTACGAGTTATACTTGGAGAGCATGATATACGAAAATTGTTACTTCCATCTGGGATTCCGAACACAGTTGATGATCTTCTATCAGTTATAAAACAAAGTTTTCAGTTAGATGGACATTTGAGACTCCTGTACATGGACACTGATTTTGGTCAGTTTTTCACCCTGACCTCTGCTGAAGACCTTAAGGACAAAGACTCAATTAAGGTTGTTCAAGTAGAAGAGCCGTCTGTCATTCTGACATTGACACCTGCTTCAAGAGATTTTGAACAGTGTTCTACAGATACCCAAACCTCAGACAGTTCCAGGGACACAATGATGTTGCCACCACGTGAGGGTCGCTTCGAAAAGTGGCCAGACAAATTTGAAGTCCCCCAGTTTACTTTTGATGTAGAAAGAATTCTTCAAGTTGGAAATCAAGCATTTTTTGAAGATGGTACTCTCCTTCAAAATCAAGGTGTCAAATCTGACATCATGCAAAAGCTTGCTGAATCTATATTTAAATACACAGCATATCCCACAAATCTCCAGATTCTGTCAGTTGTAGAGGCTTTGATAGAGAAGTTCCCATGCCTGAAGGAACCTGGAAGTTTTTCGGGAATGTATGGCTGGCAACAAAGTCTTAAGTACAAAATGGGCAACTATCGTTCCAAGTTAAGAAACCAGAAGCTAGACTTGCCAGAGCTTGAAGTAAACTCCCTCAAAAGAAAGCAGCCAAATGATAGAGTTCCTAGCAAAAATGTCAAGAAACCAAAAAAGGCTGAACTGAACTATCTTCCTCCACACCCACATGGGGAATCCCTTGAGAGTTTAGAAAATGAGCAAAAAGCACTGCTGGATGAAATCAAAAAGAAGGACAATCAGAGAGTCATTGCGGTGAAAATGTCTAAAACATTCTCATACAGGAGACATGAAGTTGTCAACCTCGCTCCACCAATTAAAGATTTCCAGCAGAGGTGGCCTGCTTTATTCACTGAAGCTCAGGCAAGTTAATCCAATTACAATATTATAGTTATTATAGATCTTTTAGCAAGGTGTAAACAACACTGGTCTAGAAGCACTTCCTGTTTAATTTTTGCTTTTATTTCACTAGTATAATTATGTCTTAAAGATTTCAATTCAATTTTAAATGTTCTGTTGATTGTGTTTTGTTCTAAAGTTTGTGTATGTTTCTAGACAAGTGTTGTTTACATCCTGTAAAATGGTTTATATTCTGGAAAGTTATCTTGAAAAATTTTTGGTGTTCATAAAGGAGATGTTGTATTTATTTTTTTGGTGATTATCTACCAAAGTTACTAATTTTAACTCTTTACAGATAAAGGAGGAATTCAGAAGAATTACTGCTGTTCCCCTTGAACAAACATTTATGTCCAAACTAGACGGTTACACGCCAAAACTTTTGGAACTTATGAAAGCTAAGGGAGGTGTTGCCGGGCTCAAGATGCAGCCTATACTTAATGTATTGATTCAGGTATGTACCTGTATAAACCAGGCAAACATTGTTTTAAATTGCTTTTGTATAGGCTGCAATAGTTTTATGTATCAATCTAGTGCTTATTTGTGCTGTTAAGCAGTTTTGAGCTCAGTCAAGACATTGTCAAACATATATTTTTGTCTTTTTGGAATAACATCAGGTCAAAGCACTGATTTATTTAGAAAACCAAACATGATGCACTACTTGCCGCAAAATGCCAAATTGCCAAATGCTTTTCAGCCTGAAATAGAGCACAATCTTTTAGGAGTAGGGAATGGTGTCCTTAGTTCAGTGTTCGCTTCTCGCTCTCTTCTTTCCTTGGGGAAACAATGTTCTTTTATCTTCTCTCTCACCTTACTACAGGTCACAACCCCTGTTAGCTGAAATCAACATTGTGTTCCTGTCTCCTGGACTCTTACTTACTAAAATTTTTTCAAACTGTTTAAAATTTCAGAAAATTCAGAGGTTGTTTGGACAAATTTTACCTTCTAGGTTTTGTAAGTAATGTATTTGAAGTTCATAGTTCAATCTTTCAATATTGTTAAATTCAAAATTTCCTAACAGGACGACAGGATCGAGACAAGACGAGATGCAGTAATCCGCAATCTCATTTTGTATCTCGGAGAAGTGGCAGAGAACCTATTCAAAGACAGCAAAGTAAGTCCCAGACATGATGTGTTAGTTTACTCCAAATTTGCTGTTCGTTTACTCACCCTCTGGCCATCCCAGATTTTTCATTTGAACAGTGAAGAGTTTTTAGCTAAAACTGCAATCACCAGTGATTCAGATAATGCAGGTTCTCAGGCTCTACCTCTTGGAGTGTTCAAAAAGCAGATACATTCAACACAAAAGTAATCCCTGCTGGTGTTGGTTGATGTATATTCTCCATAGTGACATCCTTTCATCAGCCAATTAGATCACTAATAAATGATTGTATTTGGGTGTGTTTTTTTCTATTTTTCTTAATTTGTCCTTATTTATTAAGTGCGGGAGATTGGAGGTTGTGATTGCATTACTGGAATCACGCCTCTAAACAGATTGATCTCCCGAACTGCTACAGCCTTTTAAACATTTTTTTTTCTTCACGAGGGCTGTTGTTGGAGTACAGTTACTAAACAACAGTCACTACATTTGGACACACACACAGAAAAAATGCTTTGCGCACACGTGGTCACAATGTTACGGTAAACAGTACACTCACACGGATGTTGAGTATACGAGTGACCGTTGTCTCAGTTGTGATCACATGACGCTTGGCAGACAAAGTGTATACATACTACAATACTCGTATATCAAGACGTCACTCGTTTAACAAGTTAAAATTTTACTTGTAATCCAAGGTTCCACTGTACTTGCGAAGGCTATCGCCTATATGTCAGACTATTTATCGTCAGTATGTCGTAAGATGTGGGGATTACTTTTATGTTGCCATTGTCTGCTTTTTGGACGCACCACAGGATGTCCATTTCATGGACCACCTAGGAGCGTGGTCTCAGCTAAAAATCTGTTCCACTGAACAAACATCTTGGAGTGAATAAATAGCAAATGTCCATATTTGGGTGAACTGTATTTATAAGCTCTACAATTTCTGCCACATAAGCAATTTAAAGAGTCAGCAAATCAAATATTCTGATTTAAAGATGTTTTATTTACTCATCTCAGTCATTCCAACCCTCCTATGGCAGTGGAATTTAACATTTTAAAATTTTCTTCTTTCCCCTCTTCCTCCTAATCCCCTCATCTAATTTATATAGGATGGCAATCAAGAAGACTTCAGTAATTCTCTCATGACAATTCTTGTCCATGGAAATGGAGATGAAGAGCCAGACGTGTCCATTGTACTAGAAGGAAGCAAGGTCCTAACAAAATGTCAAAATACTGCCAAAGCTTGTGCTCTTCTAATGGGACTGATTTATGCTTTAAATCTACAGTATCCATCAAATCTGAAATACACTTTCGAGGTTTTTCAGAAACTCATTCTGGATCTTGATGGACTTAAGCTTTCTCCTAAAGTACGGTCTTTGAAAACCAAGCTGCACACTTGAAATATTTTTGTTCTCGGAAAATTCATAGGCATTAATCTGTCTTGTTTACCCAAGTTTGTTTAAACATTGTTACATTGTGTGAAAATGTATACCCTGAAACATGCTGAATGATTGTTGCTGATACCATTTACATATGTACTAGTTTCTTGTACATTTTATATTCTTTATTAGAACAACAGAATTTGCATATTTAATAATAGTTCCATTCATTTGATAAAAATGTTTTGAACAATGGTTTTAATATTTTCAAATTCTGTATCAGAGGAAGTTTATTGGAAGTTTAAACTATTTTTAAAAAGAGCACTTGGCCATGGACTTGCTGAATTTACTTGAAAGACAGGATTTATTTGTAAAAGCAGTCTGTTAATATTTGGTCTAATACTTGCTCTATAGTTAAGATTCTGACCAGTCTTTGTATAGACATGTAAGTTAAGCAAAAATTTTATAATCAAAAATGTCATTGCACTTTACTGATGCTTGAGCTATTTAAATATTAAGCATTGATCTTGTTTATATATGGGCGTGTTAATTCCTTTAAATGAAGCTCTTAATAAATGTGCAATCAAGGGTTATTTTTGTCACAGTACTATTTTGTCGTATTGTAACAGTGACTCATTTTATTTATTTAAAATAATTAACATTGACTGAATAAAACAAGTAAAATTTACTTAAAATAGAAAATAGTTTTACTTAATTATATCAATTACTGTAATTACATCAGATCAGTAAGTAAATACTACTTAACATAATTTAAAGAGGCCATGTTATATGTAATTATTTACTTTGTTAGTTTTACTCAACTTCCTTAAGTAAATTTTAGTCATTTTCACAAGTGTAAAATTTACTTGAAAAACCTGAGTGCAAAATCTTGCAAAAGAAAAATGTAGTAAATTTTACTTATAATTTTTTTCAGTGTAGTTGGTGAATCAATTAGGCTAAATGACTGGTCAGTTGAAAAATAATTTATTCAATTAAAATGAGTAAAAAATTGCTTCAAAGGAAATAGTGTGTCCTCGTAAGCCTAAACCGCAATATATGTACTTGCACTCCTGTGTGAGTGTGTGAGATGCCCACGTCTTTATGTACTTCGACTGACCAACACTGAATGCACTGCATGTTTCTGGGTGGACTGTGAAATGCTTTGTTTTGAACCCAGTTTCCCATATTTGAACCGCTTTTCCCCCATATTTTCACATGCATACATACACTTCTTACATACACTACATGAACTATGTCAGGGGTCCGCACTGGAACAACCTGACCAGGACACTCATCTAATTGGCAACCATTCTACTCTTAATGGGGAAGATGTGTGGGTTTTTAATGGCAGTGACTAGCAAAAGGTTTGGTATAATACTGTAGTTTACAGCCTATGCTGCAGAGTACAGCATATGAGCATGTTTGGACTATGCAGTTAATTGCATATTCATGACATCAGCAATGGATTGTAACCTTTCAGTCCACAATACTAATAATACTAGCATTACACCCTAGGCCTATCTATTGGTTAGGAATATTTCCTTGTATACAGAATTGTTCTGAATGAAAAGGGAAAAGTCAAGTATATGAATTCATTCTTAAACACAATATGGGTCATTCTCATGAACTCATTAACATAAAATTTCTCTAATTTTTTTAATTAGTTTGACAACATACTCACATTATATTATTGTCTAAAATATGGAGTTTGCCTCTGGGATTGTTATTCAGTTGCGGAGTAAAACAATTGACAACATGAAACAGTTGAAGAAATCACCGTACATCTCATTATACTAATTGATTGTCTGTTGTGGGTTACTTGCAATGAAGTTGAAAGACTTAAAAAACATTTTATCTAGCTTTGTTCCGTTTGATTTTAAAACTTCTACAGTAGTACCTATTTGGGGAAAATTGTTATGGGATCATTAAATCATTATAAATTACATAATTTTAATATACCTAGTAAGGTAAAGTCTATTGTTCTGCACAAAATTCAAACACTATACCATTCCATGTATTGTCGAAGGATTCCCATGCATATGGAAATGACCAAATGTAAGTGTAGTAGGGGTAACACCATGCTTTCATCTTCAAAATAAAAGGGTTTCCGTGGATTTTAATTGGGTTCACAATGTAAATGAAACAGTCTATTTTCCAAGTTTTTGATTGTTGCCAGAATCATTAAGGGCATAACCAGCTTTAGTTGTCTAATTAATTAATTGTACTTCTTGCAGGACTGTGCCTTTTTTTCCATGTTAAGTGTGGTGGCCACGCTGATGAGGAAACAAAACTTTTTATGTGGCTTTTATACTTACCGGTAAGTGCTTGATGAGAGAATAGACCCCTTTATCATTATGGGCTATTGTGTGTGTAAAAACAAAGAATCAGATCCATCTATTTTGAAATATTCTACAATAGAGCAATGTTTTGAAGAAATTTTCTTTTCTGAATATTTTCAAAAGGCAGTGTATTTCAGTACTAGCCTTTCCTGATTTTTTTTTGTTTAGACAACCCACATGCAGCTGTTATTTGGCGTTAACCATCTGAGTTATATAATATTTGGTATCTGTGCTTAGTTTGGGATTTGATTAAACAGACTGATACCAGGACTATCAAAAAATGTATGTGATTACATGTTTGCAAAAATAAGGGTCAGAGAGTGAAAAGTTAAAGTTTGGAAAATCTGAGAGAAAAACATTAAAATCTCTGGTCTATATATCGTTACATCGTTAGTAAATGATATACCCAAAGCATGGTTTCAAGTGCTCTCTTTAGCCTACGTGAAATAATGCTGTTTTTCTTGGCCAGCCTGCATGTTAAATCATGATATGTCGTATGCCTATTTACAGAGATGATGGTCATGTAAATGTGAAACTGAGAGGAAATGTTTGGAATGGTGAGCAGTTACGGGAAATGGTCCTACGGATTCCGGCCTTACTTCTCCAAAAGTGCAGAGGAAGGTTTTGCACGACATTGGGTGTGGATAACGTTCCAGATGACAGATGAATAGATGTTTCCCCTATTTATTAAATCATCACTTCACAATAGTACTATTACTGAGATGATTTCTCTGCTATAACAGAACAGAACAAGGCTGTGATGGTTCAATACATGGTAAGCAGCACCACAGCACAGACACATAAATAATTTGGGGTTCTTTATTTGCCATCTGCCCGGAATAATAAAATACAGGCAGCAGGATTTTATTTCCTGTTCCTGTTTTATTTAAATAAAAAAAAACTGAGAGAGACAGAAAGAGAGCAGAAGCACTCAGAGAAGAACCGTCTCAGAGCATATGTCCCAAGGAAAACAAAAACTTCTTTTCATATCTGATAATTGTGCTATCCAAAATACGGCAGTGGGCATCAACAGTACAGAAATTACAGGAAATTACAGAGCAACGGTATCGGAAATTCCACCCACTTTCAAGACTTTGCATCTTTAAAACAAACAAACAAAAAAAAACAGTAAAACAGCTGAAAACCCATGTCTGAGTCCCTTTAGAGACACCGCTCCATTTCAGCGAGGCACGTGTACACACCGCGATGCTAAGACAAAATGAAGCGTGCATGGACTTAACGGCAAGTATTGAAAACAAGACTATTAATAAACACTTTAGAAATGAAATTAAAATGAAGCATGTCCTGTTCACATTGGACATATTTTATATACACACATATTACAGTATATCTTTGCATGTAGAAACACATTCACATTCCCTTCCGAAATCACGTCATCAAGCCAAAATTAAACCACATTCGACAGCAGAAGATCATCAATCTCCACAGAGGTCCTATACTTTAATATTTTAACCCAATTAGTCGATATTATGTTAAAATAACTATGTGGACAGATGATTCACTTCTTGAGTATCCTCACATGCGCTCCTCCTGCATTACCACATAGACAAGAAAAACAAGCAGTTCTCTGAAAGCGGCCATTAAACTCCCAAAACCCCTTTCTGAAAGCGATTCTTAACTCTGATGGAAAATAGCCCAGTTGAATTTTCCGTGAATAACATAAATGCCAGAATGCTGACTATTTCCCACAACAATGACAATTTTCCCACCCGGTTACATTCTCCCCTGATAACAGTCAACATCCTCGATGACTTGCTTAATCATTCTGGGAAGACATTGCTTCCTGTAATGCTTTCTCAAACAAAGCAGTACCTATGTGTCAACACTTCTGAAACCACCTCCATACTGGCAGAAATTGCTTTGCAAATTGACCTAGGTAAGTGGAAGGGATTTGTATGTACCCCAGCATTAACTCGCTTGCTCCTCCATATTGCAGACATAGAACAACTTTGCCCTAAGGTTTGCAATTGAGAATTACCACTGTCAGGTGGTACTTCAGGCACATTATTTCTCCCCGTATCCAGTAACTGTTCTATGTCATGGGTTACAGCTTCAACATCCTCACTTACTGACTGAAGAGGGTCATTCTCAAACTCCTCTTCTATGATAAATCATAATTAAATCAACATCGGACCCTACAGTTGTGGATCATGGATTTGTGGTATGGCTGGCGATTTTCCCTCTTTAATTCCGGGCCTTAGGACAGGTGTTTTGCATGGACACAGCTCTGACCTATGAACCCTTTTCACTGGCCTTTCTTCCAGCAGCACAATAGAATAAGTTATCCCTTGGATTTCTACTACCTGAAGGACAGTAGGCCTGTAGCAACTTGAATTCTATTTCTGCCCAAAGAACAATGAAGTAAGTAAACATGCTGTCCAACATCTGCCGGTGTGCAGAACACCTTCTAATTTTGCAAGAAAATTCTCTCAGCTGCCTTGTGTTCAGAATACTCCTTAGTGGCAGAGAAGGAGGCGCTACAGAGGGTGGTAAAATCTGCCCAGAGGACCATCGGGTGCAGCTTACCACCCACCGGGGACATTTACCTCACCAGATGCATCCTTCATGACCCCACCCACCCTGCACATGAACTGTTCACCCCCCCCGCCATCGGGAAGGAGGCTGCGCTGCATCCGAACAAAAAAAATCCAGACTGAGAAACAGCTTCTATCCAGCTGCAGTCAGACTTTTAAACTGCTCCACCACCCAAGTACATTTTGCACTATAATTACTTGCCTTGTCACTCTGTCACTTACCCTTAAAATTGCACTGATCACTTGAAGTCGCTGCTGCCATACAGTACATTACTTAATTTTTACTTCAGAGGTTTTAACTTAGCTCATTTCATTTCCAGTTCAGATATTTTACTCTAGCATTTTGCTATTTATTTAATCTATTTTTGTGTAGTAGCACACTGCACGCACCGAGACCTGAGAATCTGTGTTTCGTTCTAATCATGTCAAGGGGTTTGAATGACAATAAAGCTGATTCTGATTCTGAGCTCGCTCATATGCCTCCCTTAGCCTTTCCTGGTGCACAGACAATCAGTCTTGTTTCTTGTCCAGATCTTGTCCCAAACCTAGAGTATAGCATCCACAGGGAGATGGGATTTGCATCAAAAAGCAGATAATACAGAGAGTACCCAGAGGTGGAACTCATACCACTGCCTTTTCTTTTCAGGGGGAAGTAGGCATAGTAAGTAATGGAGAGTTTGGTTGTACCT